CATATATATATATATATATATATATATATATATATATATATATATATATATATATATATATATATATATATATATATATATATTAGACCGTTTTATTTTTGTAAAAAAAAAATTTTTTTTCAAACCAGATTTGCATATGGGTTTATTTTGTGTCATTTGATGATATAAAGACAAACACCAAAAATCAATAAAATCAAACAATGTTAAGTGACCTCTCATTGATGATATTTTTCAGAAAATTCAGTTTTTTAAAGCATTTTTTTTAAATTAATAAAAAATAATTGACTGAGTTTCAATGTAGAAAATAAATTTAAAGATTGTTTTGTCACAAAATCTGACAAAATCTTGGATTTGAAAAAACTTATGTGTTTTGGATCTACTTTTCTAACATCATTTTTTTTGCTGGTTTATGTAATGCTTTAACCATAAGCCTTTTCTCATTGACATTAACCAAATCAGAAACAAATGCCATTCTAACAAGATCTTCGCTTAGATACCAAAGATTCCTTTTAATTTTTTTCATTGCTTCTTTTCCAACTTTGCAATCAACTTTTTCAAATAATTCCTGAGTTTGAAGAAGACATTATAAGGAGCACTACAGCTGTTTACTGCACAAAACCATGCCTTTACATATACAGTTACAGTAAAGAGACAAAGTCTCTTTAAAATGCTTGTAGCTCATGTGCAGTTAACTTCAGTTGCTCACGAAGGCAAAAAATTTTTAAACAATAAATTCTTTTGGCCATCCAGCGAGCCCTGTGATAAGCTCCTGGAGGAGTGACTTGTACAACAGTAGGATCTGAAACTTCAAGAGTTATGACAGAAAGCCTAATCAATTGCAAGTAGCCATGTCGAGGTTGAGTATTTTGCACTTGGTCTTGAAGAAAATCAATCATAGCTACACGATTTTGCTTTTGCCACAAATTTTCATCATTAGTCAAAGAACAACCAGTTGTTACCTTGTCAATCGATGCATATTTTAACTGATTAATTGATGGCCATTGATCTTTAAATCTACTAAAAATAGCAATTTGAGGGCCAGATGAAGTGAAAAATAAATCAAATAAAGCTGTTCCAATAATTTTAAGAATATGATGCCTGCATGTTAAAAACAAGAGATGTTTATTAAAGGATTTCTGAATTATTGTTATAACACCAGTATGAATGCCAGTATTAGAACTTGTTGTGTCAAAACACAAACCAGCCAACCAATTTGACACGCCTTCCCAATTCTGAAGTAACTGAACTATTGTGGTTCCTATGTTTATGCCAGTACCGCCAACCTTTGGTATAGCTATCAGTTTTTCTACATTTTTCCCTGATACCACAATTGGCAGGCGATCTATGTTTACACCATCAAAATCAGGTAAAAGTTTTCCATCAAAATGAGCCACAAGAGGTGTGTTTGGCAAAAATGTGTTTTTGATAGTTTTTCCGATAGATTGTCGTATAGCTTTTCTAGATCCGTAAAGAGAGCTTGTTGACAAAGTGAGTTCATCAACGTTAATTCCAACTGCCTTTAATGCTAAAGCAACTTTGTGCATGGCTTCCCTATAAGTTGTTTTTGTACGATCTAGACTTGCCATGAACAGTGGGTCATCTACTTGACACCTTTTTTTAAGTTCATTTGTTTTAGGAGATATCGGAGTACTTCCTGCAATTTGATTCTGATGGTATTTGCTGACACCCTACTTCCTCATCAGACTTATCGCTTATGTCATCTGTTGATGTTGAATTATCGTCATCATCTTCATAATTGGCTATGTTTCCCTTTTTATTAGGTTTTTCTTGTTTTTAATTCTTGCTTAGTTTCCTTTTTAATCTTTTCTCTTCTTGTTTGGCAAATTCTTTGTCTTCTCCAAACAATAAACTTCTATAATGTTTTATAAAAACATGTAAAAATATTTTAAAAACCCCAAACACCAAAAAAAAATCATTCAGGCTTCCTAAAAAACAAAACAAAATGTGATTTGAGAGGTCACTAATACTTATTCTTTTTAATTGAAATTTTTACAGGATGATACATATATAAAACCACACCATATAAGCCCCTATGCATTGTTTTAAAAAAAAATTTTTTTTTTGAAACAGTCTAATATATATATATTGTCGGAGATTTTTATAAATGATGACAAGGCCCCACGTTGGGCGCCAATTGTCGAAAATTTTTATAAATGATGACAAGGCCCCACGTTGGGCACCAATTGGCGGAAATTTTATAATGATGAAAACAACTGGTGGTGAGGTAATCTCTTCCTCTATCTGTCTCAGGGAATTTTTTTATGGTCCAACAATAATTTTTGTGTATATTTTTATCGTGAGTTCGACCAGTCCTGTGTGGCACTGGGCTTTTTCGAATTATATGATTTTACTGAGTAACACACGAACGCGTAAAGAAAAATATTCGATAACAATTTGATTAATCGACGGAAGTAAATGAAAAGAAATTGAACTAAATGAACTCTAGAATAATGTAAAAAAAAATAATGTCAATGAACAAACTGGAATACAGGAATTAGAACTTCTTCTTGCTGGGTCTTCGACTTGGGATATGTTTCTTGCCGTTTAATTGTACAACCTCGACGTGTGTAACCGATGGTGATGTCGATACAACTCCAAGAAATAAATAAAATGAATGCGAAAAAAATTACAAAAATCGGAGCCTATGGAAATTGCAAGCTGTGTGTGAAACTATACCAATGAGTAAAGAATCCAGCAAGGAACCCTAGGTCGACAAATAGCACAAGAAACAAAACAACGAGGCGGATTCGTTTTCACAGAATCCATGGCCTGTTTTCACTGGGCCTGTCTGTCAGTCGGTCGGTCGGTTTTCGCACAACCCTGGCCTGTTTTCACAGGGCCGTCGAGTCTGATCGGCTTTCGCACGACCAAGGGCCTGTTTTCACTGAGCCTGTCCATCAGTTGGTCGGCTTTCGCACAACCCTGGCCTGTTTTCAATAGGCCGTCGAGTCTGATCGGCTTTCGCACGACCAAGGGCCTGTTTTCACTGGGTCTGTCTGTCAGTCGGTCGGCTTTCGCATAACCCTGGCCTGTTTTCACTGGGCCGTCGAGTCTGGTCGGCTCTCGCACAACCAACACAAAACAACAAGAGTCAGAACAACACTGGAAACAAATTGTGTGACTTTAGTACGCGTGCGAAACTATGCCAATGAGCATAGAGTCTCGTACCAAATCCACTTTTGAGAAATTAAGACGTTTCTGAAACTATGCCAATGAGCATAGAATCACGAATTAAGTCTCTTAGATACCAGAATAGGCACCGGTTATTCGAAGCTGCCTAACCGGTGAACCCAAGGCTGACTCTTTTTGAGAACTTAAGACGTTTCTGAAACTATGCCAACGAGCATAGAATCACGAATTAAGAATTAAGTCTCTTAGGGACCAGAATAGGCACCGATTATTCGAAGCTGCCTAACCAGTCAACCCAGTCTTCTTCTTCACTTCCACACCCTTCCTTATCAAAGCAAAATTAGATTTTGTTTCGGGTGTTTTAAAACATAAAAATTTCCAAGGTATGTCCAATTATTAAAAAAAACTACTAATTAAATTTTAAAATAATTTGTAATAATTTATGACGTCATTTAAATTGCAAAACAAAAAAAAATCGTCGTCACCTATCGAGTAAATTAACTTGCACCATGCCCCCTATCGAGTGAATAAATTTTGCGTTGAAAAGTATTTTTAGAAGTAAGAGTAGTTTTGAAGTATTTTTAGTCAGTAGTATTTCATAATTCTGACAATATATATATATATATATATATATATATATATATATATATATATATATATATATATGCTGGTAAAATGCAATGTAATAATTTATGAAATCCACCAAATTTCTAGCGTTGGATAGTTTTTTTTTATATTTTTCAATATTTCTAACCAAATTCTTGTCGTCATTTTTTATGTCGTCAAGTTAGAATAAGGTACAATTTTCTAGATCATTCTCGATTGTATAGGACCTATTTAGATTTTCCAATCATTTTCAGCAGTTTATATAGAGAAATTGTATAACCAAGTCTTTTTGCAGGTTATATGGGGAATTTGTATAACCCAGGCTTTTTTCCTGTGATAGACAATTATTGTTATAAGTTTTTACTGTCTTTCTTACTAATTGATATAGTTTCTTTGCAACCTAGAAAAAATTCTCAAAGCAGCAGGTGAATGTTGTAAAATTAAAGCGAACAAAATAAAACCGTGGATAAGCGATGAAACATGAAATTGGAAAATTCGGAATTAAGTGGAATTAACACAAAAAGGTGAACTGTCAAAGATCTCAGGTTTCCAGACGATACACATCTTCTAGCTTCCAGTGAAGAAGGTCTACAGAAGCTAATTGAACTAACTCATGTTGGTGGAAAAAATTACGGGTTTCATCTCAACAAAAAGACAAAACGAGGGTGATGATTACGGGGAAAGGCAGAAACAATGCTGAATTTAAGATAGAATCAAAAAAACTCAAACAAGTAGACCAGTTTGTGCATTCATTCATTCATTCATTCAATGATCCTTTGTAATCCCTTAAGAGACTGTTGAGGCCGATGGTATTCTTCTATCTCTCCAAAATCCTTTTCTTCCCCTCGCCATCTTCATTGAGCTCAATGTTCCAACCCCCGTCCATTCCGTGATATCATTCATCCACTTCCTCACAGGTCTTCCAACTTTTTTCTTCTAGTCCCTCTTTCTCATCAGTACTGTTTTGATCAGTTTGTGCATCTTGGCAGTATTATAACCTGTGACAACAACTGCACAAAAGAAATTGACAGAAGAATAGCAATAGCCCATGGTATGTTCGCATCATTGAAGGAAATATGGAAGAGTGGAAATATATCTGTAAAAACAAAGTTGACAATGATAGAATCTTGCGTTTCTCCGAGCTTGCTC